CTGCACTATCACAGCAAATGACACTTTGCATACTATCCAATAAACAATATCTCACCTTGACATTATACGAACCAGCATTTGGGTAGGTATAATTCGGTTTAGCTTGCGTGCTTGTAGCGCCATTGCCAAAGGTCCAATAGAAAGTGGCATAAGCACCATTCGGAACTCCTGTGCTAAAATTAAAGCTCTTTCCTGAACCAGAGTAGTTTATATAACGATAGGCTTTGCAAGGATTAGAAGAACTTCCTACTGTAAAACTACAAGTAGTTGTACAACCAGCGAATAGCATAATCTTTTGCCCCTGAATCGATGAAGATTTGAGTAATTTCATCAACTTTCATTTCATTAAACTCACTGGTTTGAGACCACTGAAGAAGTAATTCTTTATGGGTCTTATGCGCATTTTGCAAGGCGAATATATAAAGAAGCGTCTTCTTATTATTGCAGATATCACCACCTATGCGCTTACCTACTGAGGCCGTCTCTCCAAAGGTATCTAGTAAATCATCTTGGATCTGAAAGGCCATACCTATAGCTAAGCCAAATTTATAAAATGCATTGCAATCTGCTGAATTAGCATCTCCTAATATAGCTCCAATTTTCATACTAGTAGCCAAGAGGACGGCTGTTTTATGCTCTATCATCATCAGATACTCTGGCTCTGATACGATTACCTCAGACTCAAAGTTCATATCGAGCTGCTGTCCTATACAAATTTCAGCAGCAGTTTTATTATATAGCGTATATATAGAAAGAAAATGTTCTTTATTACTTATATTTTCCAGTAATTTATAACTCAATATGAGCAATGCATCTCCAGAGAGAATAGCACTATTCTCACCGTATTTTTTATGCACGGTAGGCTGTCCACGGCGGGTATCAGATTTATCCATAATGTCATCGTGCATCAAGGAAAAATTGTGAAATAGCTCTATAGCTAAAGCTGCATAATAATCATCATCTTCTAATGGTGTAAAACAACACTTGGAAGCTAGAAGCATGATCGGACGAACGCGCTTAGCTTCTAGATTTACTATATAATGATAGGGCTCATAAAGCTCTTTTGGAGCTATTTTAGGTAAATGAGACGCAATAAAGTCCTCAAATCTTGATTTTAAATCGTTGAATTTATCCATGACAGTAGAACGATAAAAGTAGGATAAATCATTTATCTTGGTTTAAATTTCTATCAAGGGCTAAAAAACACCAAATCAAAAAGAAAAAGTAGTCAAATCAGATGAATTTTCTCTGAAATTTTTATATATTTGCTAACATAGAAATTATAATGAGTCAAAAGAAAGTAACGATAGTAGGTGGAGGTCTAGTAGGTGCACTGCAAGCATGCTATATGCAGCGCAGAGGCTATAAGGTGGACGTATATGAAAGCCGCGGCGATATGCGCAAAGTGGGTTATATAGGAGGTCGAAGTATTAATCTAGCGCTGAGCACACGTGGCTGGACGGCACTAGAGAAGATAGGTCTAGCCGATGAAATTCACAAAATAGCGATCCCTATGTATGGACGCACCATCCATATGGTAGACGGAACCATCAACTATCAGCCTTATGGCAAAGATAATCAAGCTATCTATTCCGTTTCGCGGGGAGAACTCAACCAAAAACTCGTCGAATTAGCAGATTCTTATGAAAACGTAGATTTTCATTTCAATCAGTTTTGTAAAAACATTGATTTTCAAAAATCAGAAATCAATTTCGTAGATACGGAAACCCGCGAAGATAAAACTATTTCTTCCGATTTCATCATGGGTACCGATGGTGCATTTTCCAGAGTGAGACAGGCTATTCAAGCCGTGCCAAGATTTCAATATTCACAGTATTATATAGACTATGGATATAAAGAACTATTTATCCCAGCTGGCCCTAATGGGGAATTTTTATTGGATAAAAACTCCTTACATATATGGCCGAGAGGTGAATTTATGCTAATAGCACTGCCTAACTTGGACGGTAGTTTTACATGTACCTTATTTTTACCATTTGAAGGAGAGGCGGCATTTGATGATTTGAATAATGAAACTCAAGTCAAAGCCTATTTTGACCAATATTTCCCTGATGCAGTCAAACTTATGCCAAGTCTGATTCAGGATTTTTTCAAAAATCCAACATCTGCTTTAGTCACTGTGAGATGTTATCCTTGGCATCATAAAAATGCTATACTATTAGGAGATGCAGCACATGCGGTCGTTCCTTTTTTCGGTCAAGGTATGAATTGTGGATTTGAAGACGCGAGAATTCTCGACGAACTCATTGATATTTATCCAGACCAAAACGAATTATTTCAAGCTTATTCTCAAAAACGAAAAGAAAATGGTGACGCCATAGCGCAGATGGCTTTGGATAACTTTATCGAAATGCGAGATAAGGTAGGTATTCCAGAATTTCTAGAGATGAAGCATATAGAACACGAAATAATGGAAAACCCTGTTTACAACTATACTTCCATGTATCAGTATGTATCATTTTCCAATGAGCCTTATGCCTTTGCTTATGATATAGGTAAAAAACAATATGCTATGCTAGAGGAAATGGCTAAGGATAAAGACATTTATAATAAAATCAAAAACAATCAAATCCAAGACTATCTGGATCGATACCTAAAATAAACACAAATTAACCATTTATAGAGGGGAATATGAATGCTGAAAATCTAAAAAAACTGGTCAATGAATTGACCGACATTATTGCTAAGGAACGAAAAACTGTTGGACTAATTCTAACGTTCAGTATTGCCATCAAACTAGGTTTCTATGTGTTGGAAAAGCAGTATTTAGCCGTACCAGCTAATTTAGATATTGTAAAATCTAGTATAAGACCTAATGAGAAAGAAGAATCGCCAATATACATTTCGGAGAGTTCTTCCACTACCCTTTTTTCTTTCTATCCGGCTACTGCCAGTTATGAAGAGCTTGTTCAATTGGGCTTTAGTTCAAAGGCAGCTAATATCCTCATCAACTACAGAACGAAAGGTGGGCAGTTTCTAACCAAAGAAGATGTGAGAAAAATATATGGTGTCACCACAAATCTATATCAAAGAATAGCCCCCTATATACTTATCCAAAACGAGACAGCCTCCTATACTAAAGAACAATCGAGATTCACTAAACCAGAACCTAAACCCATAGATATCAATTCTGCTAGTCTAGACGAATGGAAAGCACTGCCAGGCATAGGTGATTATTTTGCCAAAAAATTTGTGGAGAAGCGTGAAGGCTTAGGCGCATACATAGACATAACTCAGATAGCAGAGGTATACCGATTTCCTGACTCTAGCTTTCAGAAAATCAAACCTTATCTGAATTTAAAAAAGGGTCGTATCTTAAAAATTAATATCAATACTGCTGCCGAAGAGGAGCTGCGAAAACACCCATATATCCTGAAATGGCAAGCTGATGATATCCTTCGTCACAGGCCTATTTACGGTCTTGAAGATCTCTATGAATTAAAAACCTATAGCGACAAAACTAAGAATCAGTTTGTAGGTAGTTATTTTGAGTTTTAACCAAGAGTTTTTGTTTAGCTAGGTATTCTGTATTACCAATGTGATTTATAGTTCGGATAGTCACAACTTAGTATATTCTTTGTGTTCCTTTGTGGTAAAACTATTGCATAGATTTTCGCATTGAAATATTAAAACAATTAGCTACTAAGCCTTCTTCATAACGAACAATTTCTTATCAAGTATAAATTCATTGATCGGTATGAGTTCAAGCGTCAACTTCCCTATTTTCAATGTATCTCGCTGGTTTTTCGTCACTATTAGTCCCTTTTTTAAATTGAAAAACTCTATAGCTTCTAGTAGACCTTCTGTCTCCCGTAGATAATTATCGGTATTCACTTCTTCACAAACTTGAATTGCCTGAACGATTTTTTTATCTCTAAATACAACGAAATCACACTCTTTTTTTTCTTTATAATAAAATATGTCCAGTTGATTTTGGCGTAGGTGTAGAAACACTAAATTTTCCAATAACCGACCTTTATCCTTGGTATAGCTATGCGAATTCGCTTGAATCATTCCTGTATCTATTCCATATACTTTACGAGGATTGACCGATGAGTTTTTCTTTGAATAGCTAAATTTTGAAACATAGAAAAATAAATAACTCTCTTCCATCCAATGAAGATAATCGGAAATTGTATTGGCCGAACCCACGTCGAATGCTTTTTTTAAGCTATTAAATGTAAATTCTTTGCCGACATTGGACATAAGATAGAGCGCTATGTCAAATAAACTCTTTGTATTTTTTATGCTGTAGCGTATCGCTATGTCCCTATAGAGTATATCTCGCAATAAATACTGCAAAGTCTCAATATTTTTCGATTTCAAATATTCCGGAAATCCCCCCCTTTTTATATAGGATTCTATGGCAGAAAGTGAGTCTTTCTTCTTTTTGAAATCTAAAAACTCAGAATAATTAAATGGGAATAACTCATGTGAAATATACCTTCCTGTCAATCGAGTGCCTAATTCCTTACTTAAAAGTGAGGCATTAGAGCCTGTGATAAAAATTTTTTTACCTCGATCATGTAGTTGACGAATGAATATTTCCCACTGAGGTACGTTTTGTATTTCATCGAAAAAATATATGTCTACTCCAGTCCCAATGACCTTATCTAATTTGCTAAAATCACTCACTTCAAATCCATAAATTCTTGAATCTTCAAAATTGAAACTCGCAATATTGGTTGAAAACTCTCTTTTCAATAATGATAATAAAGTACTTTTTCCAGACCGCCTTACTCCACTGACTATCTGAATATGCTCTGACTTCAAATCAATGTTTTTCATATAATTGCGCTCTATCCAATGAGTCTGTATAGAGAATCTAGAAGCTTGTTCTTTATATGAAACTTCAATTTCCGAACCTAAAATCATAACAATAGTTTATACTGCAAATATACAAAAGTTTATTTTGACAATATATAAAAGTTTATTTTGACAATATATACTTTATGGATACATTATTCAATCCATAATACCAATCCCTTTAGATAATTGCTCTCTGGGTGAAAGAGATTGATAGGATGATCTTCGGGCTGGGAGAGCTGCTGCACTATGCGGATCGTTCTACCAGATTCGATGCCTGCAGCCACTACGGTATCTCTAAAGGTGAGTGCATCGATCACCTGGGAGCATGAAAAGGTAAAAAGAATACCTCCTTTCTGAATATGTCGCATGGCTTGAAGATTGATGCGCTTATAGGCTTGGATGGCTTTATGTTTGGCTGAGAGGTGTTTGGCAAAAGCAGGTGGATCCAGAATGATCACATCAAATTCACGACTCATATCTTTCATATAATCCAGAGCATCTGCTGTGATAGCCTCATGTTCGGCATTGAAATTCAATTTAAAATTTCGCTTGCAAATCTCATTGGCAGTAGCAGAAGCGTCTACGGACACCACCTTAGCTGCCCCTGCGGCCTGCGCATAAATAGAGAATCCACCGCTATAGCTAAACAGATTCATAACTTTTTTTCCATGACAATAGGCTTGCAGTGCTTTTCTATTATTTCGCTGATCGATGAAAAAGCCTGTTTTCTGCCCTTTTTCCCAATCTATATCGAACTGATAGCCATTTTCTACCCAGTTTTCCCGCTGATAACTACCCCGGATATAATTCTTCTCTTTTGCTTCCTCTATAAGATCACTCGATTTATCAAAAATATTTATTTCCGAACCATAGAGACCGACCAAGACCTCCTCTATACAACTCAGATGCTGGTACATCCCTACCGTGTGGCACTGGATGACTGCAGTATGTCCGTAAATATCTATTATAAGACCTGGTAGTCCATCGCCTTCGGCATGAATCAGTCTATATAAATTGGTTTTTGGATTATCGACTAGACCCAACTGCTGACGATAACTATAGGCTTTTTCCAACTTGTCTTTGAGGATATCTTCTATCGTCTGTTCTCCATCAAAACTTAGAACTCGCACCGCAATAGAGCCTTCAAAATAGTGGCCTAACGCCAGTTTCTCTCCTTTAACATTGATGAGGATGACAGGATCTCCATTTTTAGTTCCTTTCTCTACCGAATGTATAGAACCCGAAAATATCCAAGGATGAAATCGCTGAAGACTAGCTTCGCGCTGAGGTTTTATGCTGACTTTTTTATACAAAATGATACTAGATATAAAGTTAAATAATTAGGACAGCAAAACTATGGGTTTATAGATATACTTGGGATTTTAAGTTTGTTACTCCCAAACTATAAGTTTTTGATATGGAGCTTTAGTTTCAAAATGCTTTTAAAGAAACGTATTGATTTAGATCTATAAATTCCATTTTAAAATTATTATGACATTATATTCAAATATATTAGTTTCGTGCCTTATATTAGATACTCGCATATACCTCTGACTAATCAACCAATAATGATTAAGACAAGAATTTATAAAATATTGACCTATTGTATTGCGGCAGTTTGGATAGCAAACGGGCTTTTTTGTAAAGTTCTAAATCTTGTTCCAAGACACGAACAAATTGTTGGTTCAATTCTACATTTAGACGGACATTCTGCACGCATTTTTACAATCCTGATTGGTATAAGTGAGATTTTAATGGCTATTTGGATTTTGAGCGATTATAAGACAATGGTATGTGCAATTGCTCAAATAGTATTAGTTGCTACTATGAACACCCTTGAATTTATTCTTGTCCCCGACTTGTTGCTTTGGGGGAAGCTAAATTCAATGTTTGCAATTATATTTATCTTGGTTGTTTACTTCAACGAATTTTATCTTTTCAAAAACCAACTCAAATAACTCGATGCTATCATTTTTAAAAGATCATCCATTTGCAGTTGAAGCGCACTTTGAAAGTTCGCTGGTTTTGACTTTTGCAGTTCCAAAAGAACAATTGCAAGGTCTTATTCCAGAATGTTTGCAGCTTGATACATTTCAAGACAAATGGGCTTTTGTGGCAGTTGCAATGGTTCAAACAAAAGACTTGCGACCTAAAGGGTTTCCCAAATTTGTTGGCAACGACTTTTTTCTTATTGGTTATCGTGTTTTTGTTCGCTACTCAAATAATGCTGGCAAAAGTTTACGTGGTTTGTATATTCTGAAATCAGAAACTGACAAAAAGAAAATGGAGTTCTTTGGAAACATATTTACACATTATAACTACACCACAACAGACATAAAACAGGTTGAGCACCAAAACACAAAAGAAATCTCCTCGATTATATCAAATTTCAATATCACAATAGACAAGACGGAAGAACAAATTTCTTTGCCTGAAAATTCACCTTTCTCAGACTGGAAGGAAGCAAGAAGATTTGCAGGACCTTTGCCTTTTACATTTACCTATAACAAAGAAACCAAAGAGGTTCTAATTATAGAAGGTGTAAGACAAAAGTGGATACCAAGTCCAGTAAAAGTCATCGATTATAGATTCGATTTTTTAAATACCTTAAAAGTCGAAAATCCAATATTAGCAAATGTTTTTATCATTAAAAACATTCCATATTACTGGAAAAAAGGTAAAAAAGAGGTATGGAAATAAAGAGACGAAAATTTCAAGGGGTATTAAATATTTTAAGTTTTAACCGACACTTTTATTTGTTTGGCTTGATTTTTTTGGCATTAATCATTGGTAGTAAACTTATTTTCAATTGGTCTGAAGGTTTGTATTGGTTAGTTATTTTGGCATTCATTTATGGACTAATCATGCCATTAATTGTTTCTGTCTATATTTATGACTTCTCAGGCTTTTATAATTTTGATTGGTTAAAGAAAATAAAAANATTTGGGAAAATCCTATTCTTTCTAATGATTGTTGTAAATAGAAACCTTTGTTTTTCACCTCTGTAAGTAGGTTATTTTCCTTCAAAACACCTAAGCAAGCAAGCGCAGCAGCGCAGCATACTGCATTCCCCCCATAGGTAGATATATGCCCTAAGATAGGGTCGAAACTCAAAGTTCGCATCACTTCTTTATTGGCTATAAAAGCAGCTATAGGCATACCTCCGCCAAAGCCTTTTCCTATCAAAAGGATATCAGGAATGACATCATATTGTTCGAAAGCAAACATGGTACCTGTTCGACCACAACCTGTTTGTATTTCATCGAAGATCAATAGGCAACCCACCTCGGTGCATCGCTTTCTGAGGAGTTGAAAATAGTCGTAATTTCCAATGACAACCCCTTTCTCAGCAGAGATTAGCTCTATAATAACAGCGGCTGTACTTTCCGTGATGTTAGTTAAATCCTCCACCGTATTATAACGAATATGACTATGACCTGGCACCAAGGGGCGGAAGGCCGTCTGATAAGTCTCGTCACCCATAGCACTCAAAGCGCCTGCTGTGCTGCCATGATAGGATTGGAAGCAGGAGATGATTTCAGCTCGACCAGTATATCGCTTGGCGAGTTTGAAGGCTCCTTCTGTTGCTTCTGTTCCAGAATTCGTAAAATAGAAATTGTCCAAGCTCTCTGGCAAGACTTCGATTAATGCTTCTGCTAACTTTGTTTGCGGCGAATAGACGTATTCACCATAAACCATGAGATGCATAAATTTGGCTGACTGTTCCTGTAGAGCCTGAACCACCTGAGGATGGCAGTGGCCGACATTGCTCACAGATATGCCCGATATCATATCCATATACTCTTTACCATCTGGTCCATAGAGATAAACACCCTCCGCTCGGTCCACTTCGATAGCTAGAGGATTCGGTGTAGTCTGTGCGATATGTGAAAGAAAGAGTTGACGCGAATTCATCTTTTAAGTTTTTACAGTCTGATGAGAAGTCTAGCAGCAAAATTATCTTTAAAATCACCCTGATAATATGCCCCAAACCGATAATAAAAGCCTAAACCAATAGGGAATTTATTGATAATATCGTCCCATTCTATGCCTCCTTCTTGATACAATTCATTCGGTGCTACGAGCGGGATACTATGCTGAGATGGATCCCTAAGACTGCCTAGCAGGGATTTATATATTAATGATAGTTTCAGGTCGTATCTAGGACTAAGGGGTAGATTCGGTAAATGATGCTTGACGAATAGACTCGCATACTGATCAGAGTAAAAGCTAGAGGGCTCCATAGTTTCAAAATATCGGTATGAACCCAACCCAAAGGTCGTAATGAGGTTGGTATTTCGATTCGAACTTCCAAATCCTTCAAATAGCGAAATAAGAGAAACTGAACCATGCATATATCCAAGGCAGGTAGAAAACTCCGTCCTACCCAGTGGTGACTTAATACTTGTTTTGCCTTCTAAATTTAAGGTATGGTAAGGATTCAAGACGGTATTGACTGGATGCCTATAGGCATAATTGAGCGCTATGACAGTGGGTTTAGAGCTAATTTTATGTTTACCTTCTGGGGTGACTACATATTTCGTTTTCGGATAGTATTTGAGGTCTAGGTTGAAATTGATAAATTCAATCCCATCAATAGTTTGCCCTAAAAAAGTATAAGGGAATTTCGCCGATACTCGCTCGTACTGAATAGTTGATTTCTGTTCTAGATATTTATGTAGGTCACTCTGATAGCCTAGACTCAGACTTCGTGACTGATAATATTTATCAAAAAACCAGACATTGACGAGATGATTAAACTTTTCCATCTTGGACCCCAAGCCAGAAAAAGGTCTGCCCGCGAGATAGACTTCATTTTCATACTGAAGTGAAATCTTAGATTGATTCTGATAATTTAACAGATAAGAAGACCCCAATTTATATTTAAATTTTTGATCGCCGAAGCCATATCCCAGTAGTCCGTTAAGTGACAATTTAGGATGAAATTTATAATTGGTCTCTCCTGCTAGGGTCAAACGGAATCCTTCGTAGCGATTAAACTGCATGAGATCCACTATGGATAAATTGATTTTACCAAGCCGGACATAGCCATTTCTCAACGCAAGTAATAGTCTGAGCTTAGACTCTATATTCTGTTTCTTCACTATACTATCTAGCGCTGTATAGGTATTCTTCTCTCGCTCTAGGAGGGTGTCTGCTCCTCTCAATTTGACAAGTAAGTCCTCGGATGATTTATCATTGAGACTAGCCGATATCTCCGCATCATATCCTTTAAAATCACCTTTAGTAAAGATTTTGGGAACTTCTACATTTTCAACTTTGAGCTTATATATAGTATTCGTATTGAAATTATTCATCTGTACCATGCTATTGGTCAAGTTGACAAAAAGCGTCTTAGAGAATACCTTGTTTTCTATCAATTGATTGTGCAATTCAAAGAAACCTTGTTTGGTAGTACCTTTATAGGCCATGCAACCATAGGTCAAGGCATCTATATGCACAAAACCATGTCTACTGCGTTTATTCTTCGTCTTTTTAAATGGAAAGAAAGCTACTTCATAGGTTTTTCGACCATTTAACTGAAAGCTATCCTCTAGTCGGAAATAGTATTCTTTATAAGCATCCCCTCTGAATATTCGAGGCAGAAAATTGACCTCATCTAGAGAAATTGCAAGCAATTCGTATATAGGCATTTTAAAACCGCTCATATTGGAGTTTAGAAGTATTTTTTTAGTTCCTAGATTTTTATCATGTTTGAAAACAGAGGCTCTTTCCCAGACGAAAATCTTGTTATTCTTCAGGAAATCCTTGCCTTCTTTATAGTCTGCGGCATCCTTAGCTTCCAATTTGGGCTGGGATGTATCAGCCTCTGCATCCGCTGTAAACTTACTATAGGTGTAGAACTGATAGGAGGACAATCTATCTGGATGATTATCATTAGCTTTATCCATCATTTTTTTAATCAAGCTATTTGCATATTCGTCTATCCATGGCTTGATGGTGACTTCTTTCAGTTTATTGTCTTTCTTGTAAAGGTATACGATTTGTTGAGTACTTCCCAAGACCACCTCTGCCGTATCAAACCCCATAGCATAGACCCAGACTATTTTATAATCTAGTAATACATTGGCTTTTCCTTGCATATCTGCCTTGGCTATAGGTTTCTTATTATAGGCTATAGTAGCGGCAGGAATGACTTGCTTGGTCTCCATATCCTTTATTGTCAGCTCTACTTTCTGAGAAAAGCCGAATACTGGCAGAAGAAGAAAAATAATGAGGAAAAGACGCATCAATAATTGTTTTAGTTTTGTTTGGATTTAATACTAAGTAAATATTAACTCCGAAAGG